GGTAAAGTTGAGAAGATAGCAAGAAAACCATGGGTTACACAGGAGATGATGAGTAAAATGGAGGAGCGAAGGAAATGGAAGAATGTCAACAATGAAGAAGGCAGGAGGAAATACAGGAGACTGAGGAATGAATTGAAAAGAGCCACGGAAAGGGCCAAAAAGGAATATCTTGAGAATATATGTAATGAGATTATAGAATTTCAAATGACAGGACGTTATGATTTGATGTACATGAAGACAAAAGAACTAGGATGGAAAGAGAACCATGGGATTCAAAATATTGGCATCGAAGACTCCCAGGGGAATAGAATAGTAGATCAGAGGCAAGTGTTGAAAATTTGGGAAAATTATATTACAGAAATTTATGATCGACCTAATCGGCCAGAAACCTTGGAAGTGGAACCCGAAGAAGTAGATACAAACGAAAAAGGACCATATATTTTACAAAGTTAGGTGGAAAAAGCTATGAAGGACACGAGGAATGGAAAGGCTACAGGAGATGATGTACCTGGAGATGTGCTTAAGTTACTGGGAGAAGGTGGTTTGAAAACACTGACAAAAACTAATAAACACCATATATGAAACTGGGAAGTGGCCCAAGGACTTTACAGAAGTGAAAATAATTGTTTAAAGAAAAAGACAAAAACTACAAACTGCAGCGACCATCGCACAATAAGCCTTATTGCACATACAGCAAAGATAATAGCAAAGACACTTAAAAGAAGAATTGAAAGGAAAATAGAGGATATACTTGGAGAGGATCAGTTTGGATTTAGAAGAGGAAAAGGAACCAGGGATTATTTTGGGATGATGAGAATTATAGCAGAACGAACTTTGGGGGTAGATGAAGAACTGTGTGCTTGCTTTATAGACGGGCAGAAGGCATTTGACCGTGTAAATTGGACCAAATTAATCTTTAAACGCCAGACTTCTGAAATAGTGGTAAGCTTGAGCTGGCCGGAGTTTATTTAAATGCCCGCTGCTACTCTGCGTTTAAATGTTCGTTCCTGTTGGGGCGCTTAATAATGGACGTTAAATTATGAATTTATTTAGAAAATAAGAAAACTCCTTATGTAGATGTCATGTCTCCTTGTTATATGTCAATCCTACCTCTTGTGCCTAACGCCTAATCCGATGTTTTTTTTTGTTCGACATTGGAGACTTTCGCTACAAACTGTTGAACTGTGTAATCCACGTTTAGGATTCCCACTTGACAGTCGCTCTGCAACTCCGTCAATATATTCAATTCACCATTACAGGCTCTGTTGTCTCTTATTTATTCTACACTACACACGTTTCGGTCTATATATATATACTACTGTGTTCGAAACCTGCTGTTGTCCTGTTCTATTTTGTATTTAAAAGTAATGTAAAATTTTTATGAAATCTTCTATAAATTCTCAAAGTGTGCTTCTTTTGCTTACACACGTGTCTTGCGTCTGGTGTATCTGTAATATATAATAATGAGTTATATTAGTGTTTTATTTATTTGAGATATTCATATGTTATATTCTATTATTCTCTCTGTGCTTCTAACTTTACTTACGTTTTTTGGTGTGTTGGTTTCTTTTACTTTTGCCACGCTCAGCCACTTCGTTTGTTTCGTGCAGTGGTTCTATAAGGGGGGNGTTTAGGTGTTTTCCTTTTTTTTTGTTTTATGATGTCTATTGTATCTGTTATGATCTCGTATATATTCCCCTTGTTTAATATGTGGCTTGCATATCCCGATTACTACTATTAATTGTAACTGCTTGTATACATTCTTCGTACCTGGTGTAGAATGTTTTGCCTGATGTATTTTATTGGGCAGTATAGACATTTCATTTGGTAGATGCCACTTTTGTTGTATGTCAGTTCGTGGGTGTTGTTTTAGTATGTTTTGTATTGTGTTCCGCGTCATAAATGCTATTTCTTGCGTGTTATGTAATTTTGTGATTCTTCTTGTTTCCTTTCCGCTGTACGTGGAGTGGCCCATTGTGTTTCCGGTGTTGTGGGACGATGTCTGTGTTCCGTTTTTGTAAGGCTCGGTGTTTTTTTTGTATTATAATTATTATGTTAAGTCTTTTTATGACGTTTAGTTCATTTACTTTTCCTTCTACAGGTACTGGGTACGTTTTAATAAGATTTTAGTGAAATTCTATGTGTAACATAGGTAGATGCACAATATTTGTCGGATACTTTTATTATTAGCAATGTTGCTTGAGTACAAAGCCCGCATTACATAAAGTAATTAAATGACTTTTGATGCATACCACATACCGTTAATTAAATTATAATGAACTACTATACGAGAGATGTGTGCAAAAATTTTGTCAACGTTTGATTTGTGGTCACAGTGACTGATTACAAAGCTATAAATTCACTTTTACATGTGTCTACCAAATCGTTTCACAGATGTAATTCGAGACTGCGTGCAATTACGTTGCTGAAACATTAATTTTGCTCGTTTTGTCTATAATATGTTCTGTTTTGCCGACACTGCCTTTATGAACCTGTGGCGATTACGCCGAATACACAGCAATGAAAGCCTTCATGAACTGTGTCTACTACATTATGAAGTACACTATTCAGTTTTGTTAGTGTTTGTGTATCTTCTCTACTACATAGCCTACGCAGTTAACAAAGCATATTTAAGCGAACCACGAGAAGTTGTACCTTGCACTCGCTGCATCCTTGCGGGTGTAACGTCACTCTTGTAGAGAAGGCGGTGTCGTCTAGGACGTCTGTCTGCCTGGAACAAACTAAGTGAAGGAACACAATGGTGGCAGTCAAGAAACGAGAGGTCTTGCTCCAACATAAATAATGAACGGGCCAACAAAACAACACAGCATTTATTTAACATGGAAGAACGTCCAATTCTCTGCATCTAACACGGATACTTTGAAAGGAATTGTATAATACAAACAACTGATATTCCCCAGACTTATCCTGATCTTTTACTGAGATGCAGATTCTCGACGTATTGGACTGTAAAGAGTTCTGATGATGATGTATGGCAATAGGCACTAAGGAATTCTGAACTTCGTTCATCGTCCTTTAAGCTAAAGAACGCCAGAGAATATAATGTTTTGGAAACTGGGTCTGCTTAAGTCCTCAGGTGAGGGGTAAGAGACACCAAGTCTGTTGGGTCCGTTGCAAACTGCTAATCCCAATCACTGATTCATGACTGGGATTAGATCCTTGTAACGGTATCTCCCACTCCTCAACTTAGGAAGTAAACACATCCACTTTCACAGACTTCTTATTTAGTGTTCTCCAGAATACCGCACGATGCACGAAGTTCAACAACCCATTAATCCTAACCTATTCCAAATCCCAGATATATGAAATCGGAAACACTTTATTTTAACATGGAGTTTGAAGGAGCTTTGGAATGT